TGGAGGTAAGAATAAAATTCATGTTAATGAAAAAAAATAGAATATCTTGTTAGGTATTTGTGGAATTGCTTTGAATGAAAAATATCTGTGTATATTAGGTAGGTATTTCAGAAATTTTAAAAATTGTTTTTGGGGCTCCTGGGTGGCTCAGTCGGTTGGGCGTCCGACTTGAGCTCAGGTCATGATCTCCCGCTCTGTGAGTTCCAGCCCCACGTCGGGCTCTGTGCTGACAGCTCAGAGCCTGGAGCCTGCTTCAGATTCTGTGTCTCCCTCTCTGTCCCTCCCCCATTCATGCTCTGTCTCTCTCTGTCTCAAAAATAAATAAATGTTAAAAAAAATTTTTTTAATTGTTTTTATAGTAAAATTAAAAGGATAGTTTATTTTTTCACAAATTTTATGTATATATTTGAGATTTATAATTTGTATCCTGTGTTTAGCTCTTTAGTTCATCTAATATATTAATTCATAAACAAATATATTTCCTTTGCCCCATACACTACTAAATCCCTGAACGTGCAGGAATCCAAACACATCTCACTTGTGGTTAATTTGTTAAAGCATAGTGTAGTAGAGATTAAAAACTGGGCAAAAAGTGTTGAAGATTTTAGTTTGTTAGCTACTTTCCAGAAAGTACGTCTAAATTCATATCATCTAAAAAATGATTTAAATACTACTTTACAAATTATCAAAATATTTAGTCCCTTTGGGTAATTATTCATTTCCAAATTAAAGAGATAAAGTTGTCTACTTTTAAGGAGAGTTCCTATCAAATTTGCCAACACAGTAGAAAAAGAGAAAGGAGAAAAGGCTCCCTGGGTTTTGTCTTCTGTTAAATCAGCCGTGATAAGGGGACAGTAATGGACTTTCAATACTGGAGGTGGTGGGGGGGCTAATATCGACGAAGCTGTTTCATTCTGTACATTCTCCCCGTCCCATCTTCTCACCTCCTGACAGGTATTCTCAGCAGAATCTGTTCAGAGTACCTGTGTTTCAAAGAGCATTTTCTAATTTTGTGTTCTCTAGGAAGCCTGTTAAAGTTACGGAAATCCGTCCATTTCATAAATTGTTTTAACACAACTTTTTTCCCCCCCCAGCTGAAAAGGGCTACTTGGTTAAGTGCAGGGAAGAGTGGGCGAAGACCAAAGACCCAGCTGCTGCCCTCAGAAAACTACCTGTCAAAAGGTGTGTGGAAGGGCAGCTGCTGCGAGGACTTTCAAAATATGGAATGAAGAATATAGTCTCTGCATTTGGCATAGTGAGTGCTATTTGTGAAGTCAGGCAAATGACTTGAGGTGGCTTAATTCTTTTTAAATTTTACCTTTAAATATTTTACTAAATCTTAGAAGAGCGGAAGGTAAATAAGGATCCTTTGGTGATCTCGGAGACGTGTGTTACCTGAGTGATCCTTGTGTGTACCCTGAATGGTGACGAGGGAGGGTGGTGGGTGTGGGTGGCGTTGGCAACAGTTATTCGCATGGAGGGCTGAGAAAAGCATGAAAGTGGTAAATACTGCCTACAAGGAAATTTAATTTAAATTTAATTAAATTTAACTTAAGGAATTTAATTTAAGGAAATGTAACTTAACTTTAATTTTAAGTATCTTGCTACTTTAGAAATTCAGAATCCATCTTAGGGTGCACTTGTTGATCGTTGTCCAGCATCGGGACTGCAACCTGCCTCAGTAAGAGGTTGCACGGGAAGCGCCCTAGTGATTACATTTTAGTTTGGTTTCTTCGTGGTTGTTCAGGAGTGGGTACCATCTTGGCAAGTGTGGCCTCTGCCAGTGTTCAGATGGCTGTGATCCCTCGTGGACTAAAGGTTAACTCTTAAACTTAACGTCTCATTTACTCTTCCCCTGGTAAACAAGAAAGAATTTTTACCGCATGAAGTCAGTTGTCAGTTCAGTCATTCAGATTTTCTCCCTCCACGGCCATTAGCAGGAAGGAAGCACTATTTGCTGTGTAACTAACCAATATGTGAATTTCTAGAGTTTGAGGGCCGTGTCTTTGGTTTAGGGTGTGAGCTCCACAGGACTTGCTTTATTTGCATGAACATGTGGGAGCTGCCGCCATGGAAGCTGACCATGAGCACCCCGTAGTCGGAGGAGTTCTGTCTCTAAAATTGGTTGCCGTGCATCAGTCGCTGTTGCTATAAGCCTTTAGAGAGATGAGATTTGAGCTACGAGCTTCTCGTTCTAGGGTCACCACTGAGCAAGTGGGAGGCCTGGGAAAGTACAGTACTTTTAATATTCAGAATATGTATTTTTTTCCTTGCCTGTTTTTTATCCTTCCCTCCAGATACCAAGAAATAATCGCTTAATGTATATTCATAGCTACCAAAGCTATGTGTGGAATAACATGGTAAGCAAGAGGATAGAGGAGTACGGACTGAGACCCGTCCCGGGGGACCTCGTTCTCAAAGGAGGTAAAAAGGCAGATATCCTCCTGACTCCACCAAACTAGGGTTCAGTCATTTGACACTAGTGCTTAAAATCCAGCCTGGCCACTGCTTGGGGAGGGTGGGGGGTGTCTAGTAAGGTTAAATGGAAAGGCATTGTAAGCTCAGACGGAACACTTTGCATCTGTATCTCTAATCAAAATATGCATACGATTTGAGTAAGCATCTGACTCTCTTCTGGGTCTCTGGGCCTCCATTTTCTTGGCTAGAAGAAGATTTGAATGAGATGTTGTCTTTAAGTCTTTTTCTAAACTTTAATCTGGGTCTAGCAAATACTCCTCTACACTTCTGGACTTGCCTTGGCACCTCAGCTATTGTCCGCCAGTTTTAAAGAGTTTCTGTAAGTCAGCTTTCGACCGGAGCTCACTTCACACACGGGCCGTGACGTAACAGACACTTAGTGCGTACTCTGTGCTGGCAATGTTCATAAAACACACAGCTGATCCCCTCTGATGCTGAGCCCCCACCTTGTGTCAGGCCTTGTGTTAAGCCCTTTGCCTACCTCTTCTGGTTTAAAGCTCGCAGTATTCTGTGAAGTGTTCCCTGTGTTCTTCAGACAAGATTCACAAGATTCCACATCTGGTTAAAAAAAGAAAAGGCAGAGATTCAGAATCAAAGTCGGCCTGTTTCCAAAGTCCATGTTCTGGCACACCCAGCCGCCCTTCTTCTGTCTGAAGACATAGCTTGTTCATCTACATGTATACCCAATAAGTCCACTAAGGGTCCTGTTGAGAAATTTTGATTATCCTGGATTAATAGTTTTTAATCTCCTCAAATGTTGATTACATCCAGTGTGTTTTAATGTCCCATATGCCATCACATTTCATCCTCTAAACGCAGACTGATTTAAAATTATTCTTTTATCAAAATGCATCCAATGGCGATAGCTTTCTAGATAGTATTTTGTAGGATTGTTTAAAAAGGAGAAAGCAGCTTGTTTTTTTAAAGCATTCTAAAAACATATGGGTGCAGCTGAGAAATAAATGTTTGTTTTTTTGTTTTTTGTTTTTTTGACTTTCCACTTGTTATGAATCCATGATTTTATTTCTTGGGTAGAGCAGAAAAGACAGAAAGGTACCTAACTTAATTTCCTTAAATTTTGTAGGCCACTCATCCTGTGTCAGCTTGCATATAATTTTTGAAGATCAAGCTCATGAAAATATCACCTATTTTTGTAGTTTTTCTTAATTTATCTGTGTGTCAATTTGCAGCTACAGCCACCTATGTTGATGAAGAAGATGTTAATAATTACTCCATCCATGATGTGGTAATGCCTTTGCCTGGTTTCGATGTTATCTACCCAAAGCATAAAAGTAAGTTCCCTGTCAGGGGAAAGTAGATAAAACAAAGCGTGACATATTTAAGCCACTTACCAGCCACCAAGAATAGAGAGAGGGGAAAAAATCAGTACTTTAAATATAATTTTAGAACTTTCATTTCTGTCAGACTTGAAAATGTTTAGATTTCAAACATTTATAAACTATGTTTACATATATAAAGTCTCCCTGAAAGGTATTCAAGTGGATAATTTTTTTTTATTTTTTTTAATGTTTATTTTTGAGACAGAGGGAGACAGAGCACGAGTGGGGGAGGGGCAGAGACAGAGGGAGACAGGGAATCCGAAATAGGCTCCAGGCTCTGAGCTGTCAGCACAAAGCCCGATGCGGGGCTCAAACCCACGAACCATGAGATCATGACCTGACCCGAAGTCGGATGCTTAACCGACTGAGCC